ACCCAAACAGAATACTTCCCCATCCAATCAGAGCACAGCCAACCCCCCATCCAATCAGAGCACAGCCAAGCTCCTTAACCAATCAGAACACACCTCCACCCAATCAGAACACAGCCAAGCTCCCACCCAATCAGCTCAAACCCCACTGGCAGTTAAAAGGAAGAAACAACTGCGATCACACACACTACTCCCAGAAGCACAAAGCTGAACACACCAGCCTGAAGATGACGAATGTGATTTCGTCGAAACGTCGCCAAGACACTTCTAATTCTACGTATTGACAGGTACAAATGTGAAAAGCAGAGGTTGCTAGCTAACTGAAATTGCAAGCAGAGGAAATATCGAAATAACTATAGGAGACAAACTGTGCTAACAGAAAGATGGTTAAAGATAGGATATTGGACAAAGGGGCTTCCTGGAACATGGGAGGGACAGTGGTTTTAGGCGGTCCGGAAAATTTAGTCAATTTGCCTCTGAGAGATGGTGAAATAGAAACCGAAAGAGATCACAGGCAACAATGAAGAGAAAACCTAAAAAAAATAGAACAGGAAGAAGAAGAAAATAAATTATTCCCTCTAAAAGAGATATCAAGTGGCTTGGGGGCAGGCAATGTTCCCATAGTGGTATATGTACAAGACCCCCTAAGGAGTAGTGAAGTAAGAACATTTAAAAAGGAACTCAAGAAATTAATAGATCTCACAAGAGTATCAGAACAACTAGATCACTTGTTGGGACCAAATATTTACACCTGGGATGAAATAAACTCTATTATGACCGCATTATTCAACCCAGAAGAGAGAGATTTAATTAGAGCTGCAGCTGTCAAAGTCTATAACAAAGACAATCCCAACAATGCAATACGGAACAAAAATTCCATATCGTAAGACCAAATTGGAATAATAATGTAGCAGCAGATAGAGCAGACATGGAAAATTTGAGGAACATGATTATAAAAGGAATAAGGGAAGCAGTATCTAGATCTCAGAATGCCTCCAAGGTACTTGAGATCAGTCAAAGAAAAGAAGAGACACCCTCAGACTATTTGGATAGATTAAAAGATACAATGAGGAAATGTTCAGGCTTAGATCCTGATGCTTCGACCACACAAGCACTATTGAAGTTAAATTTTGTTATCAAAAGTTGGCCAGATATCAGCAGGAAATTACAAAAAGTAGATGGGTGGACATGTAGCTGGACATCAAACAGGAGCAAGTTTTGAAGCTACAGGAAACAATTTAGCTGACCATGAGGCTAAGGCAGCAGGAAGCGAAGAACCAGAAACGATTATGGTTACAATTCCAATTTTAAAAGGAGAGTTAGTCCCAATTTTTAGTGAAGATGAAGAAAAGGTATTGTCAGAAATGGGGGCGGAAAAGAATACAGAAGGAAAATGGATATTACCTGATGGAAGGCAGGTGTTGAATAAAGCCATAACACGTGAAGTAATCCAAACGCTCCATGAGGGCTTTAGTAGATGTATTTCTGAAAGGTATGGCTACAAATAACGGCCGGATGTCTCATTTGCAAGAAAGTTAATAGGTAAGCTCTAAGTCAGGAGTATCAAACTCAATTTCATTGAGGGCCGCATCAGCATTGTAGTTGCCCTCAGGGGGCCGGGTGGGTGTGGTCTACTGGATGGGCGTGGATGGAGTGGGTGTGGCCTACTGGGTGGTCGTGGCCAGCTCTACAGCTTTCGCGTCAAGGATGCCTGTAGGGGCCTGGGCAGGAGTGGGACAGATCTGAGGGTCTCTGGCAGAAGGGGGTGGGACCAGGGCAAGTGCGAAGGCATGGTCGACTGGAGGAGCCTCACTGTTCCTCTCAAGCCATGCGGGGGGGAGGGGTGGATGGTGGCGCGGGCTGCCTGGAGCCCTGGGCAGCAGAGGTCAAACGCCCAGCCTGGCCCTTGAGCACCCACAGCAGCAAGCCCAGCCCCACTTCCCCAAGTGGGCGCCCAGCTGCACTTACCTCCTCCTCAAGGCTGCTGCTGCTGTGCTTGCTCTCCTTAGTCAGGTTGCTCATGATGGGTACAAGGGCAAAGTCAGAGGAGTCCATGGGAGGAGACTCTGCTTTGTATCCAAAGCTTCCTTAGCAATAGGATGGGAGACCCCCAGGATAGGCCAGGAGGAGGGGGCAAGGGGATGGTAAAAGGGCAGTAGGGCAGGACTAAGGTAGGACTTCCCTCAGATCCTCCCTCTCCTTCTTTCCTAAGTACAGAGCGGTGGGAAAATATTTGAGATGAGGGAGGAAGAAAAACAGGCAAGAAACGCAGCTGGGGAAGTATCACCCTTCGTGAGGAATGAAGAAATGCACCATCACCTGGAAGTGGCCAGCACATGGACCTCAACTCCTTCACATATCTGGCTTGGTGGGCTCTGGGGGAGGGGTTGCCATGAGCAGCGTGAGTCAATGTTACCTGCGCAATGCCGGTTTCAGCAGGCAGCAAGGTGTTCTCACAGTGCTTAGAGGCTGAGCCGGGCGGCGCGAATCTAAAAAGAAACGCGACGCCACAGCCCCCAGCCTGCCCAGTTTCGGCAGGCAGTGAGGTGCTCTCCTCACAGCGCCGAGAGGCTGTGCC